AAAGGGAATTAAATAGGAATGCCTGCATGGACCAGGAGAAAGTCAAGGAATACACTAAAAGGAAGAAGTGGGAAGAAGTATGACTAACACATTGGTAAGCCAAATAGAGTTTGAAGGAATCTATGTTAGAGTCCTTTGTACTAGAGACGAGCACTTTCTTTGTCCTAGGGATGAGCATAACCGCTTAGCAAAGCTAGTGGGTATGTGGCAGCCTCCCGGAGATATATTTTGCCGTGCTAAAATTGCTTGTGCACACAGCAACAGCGTTTATAGCCTTCAGGTGATCAGGACAGCCGTGCGCTCGCGGCAGCCCTGATCACCTCAGATTTTAAAATCATGACACTGTGGATGGTTAACTCATCCAGAGACAAAGAACCCCCAAATGTAGGGTAGAAATCAGTGTACAAAAAAACACATGAAGTACTAGTATATAATAAAGAGGAAAAGAGTCACCAATGCCAATATAAAGGGAGTAACAATGTTTTATTTTCTCAATATAACAAGAAATTACACCTACGTAAAGGTTATAGAAACACAGTGAATGGACAGTATAATAAAGTAACAATAGAAAAGAAACATTTCTTGAGCACTGACATTAAATAGTAACAGGTGAAAATGTAACAAAACAAACTTAGACCATAAAGGTGAAAAGGCAAACAGTCTTTGTGAGAAATATAGTATAACTCATAAACAAAGAACTTCAGAAAGAACAATTATTTAGGAGGGTCGGTTGGAATCTGTAAAGAGAAACAGAATAAATATATATGTATTAAGGCAATTTGCCTGCATTTGTGGGAGGTGCTGGTTTGCTACCCCTAGCCTACTTAAGGCACTCCCCTTACCTTGCTCCTTACCGTTCGAGGTCAGCGTTGAATGAGGATCCACTTCCGGGTTCTCTCAGACGCCATCTTGGTTTCAGTATCCACAAGGTTTTCACCACGTTAGCTGTGTCCTGGAATCCTGTTCAGGCCTTCCCCCCGTCCAGCTTCTTCTGAATCCGGTCTCCATCGTAGATCGCGTCCCAGGGACTCCTAAACCATAAGTCAGACCTTCCTGTCACGCCAGGACCGGTTCCCACGGCGTACGGTACAGCACGGGTCCTCGCTTTACGGCTTTTCCCTGGTTATGACACGAATGTTTCAAGCCATTCGCGGGCTTTTTCATTCGTACGGACATTCGGCTGAACATAGTTAATCGTTCTAATAGTCATTTCGCATATCCTATTTCATGTAATATTGAAACGAATTATCATTCGGTTGTTTTGCCGTTCGGCAAATTTTCACTTACGCTCAAACACGCTTTCGGTTCGCATAAATCATACGGTTAAACTATTCTAACTTCTGTGTTTCCCTCACATTTGCTTTCGGCTTTTCTGTGTATAATCCTTTCATGAATTATATTCACCATTTCATGTGTACATAACGTTCGGTTAAGAATTGCTTGTTTAAATAGATTATTTTGATTACTTTTAAATATTGTCAGTATTGTATTACGTCCACAAATCAAGTCCACTTCTCTGTATATACCATTTGACTCCCACGCTTTCAGGGGTCTGCATTACTTATCCATTTATACAAATGGACTCAGCCTATGTTACAGCCCTCACTTCTGGGTTATTACTACAACACATACAAAGGATATAGGTTCATTTAGGTAATAATTCTCGGGTTGATACGTCTTTTCTATACAAATATATCATATAGATATACATCACTTTACATCATTTTAAATCATTTTGGGGTATCCCTGCCTTTGGTTATTCTGCTACATATCATACATAACACTGTGTAAAATAGGCCATGACCTCATCCATGTCCCTTTCTATAAAACCAGTTACATTTCTGTACAGATCATTGAACTCCCACGCCAGGAGTTTTATAACTATCCATTTCATTTCAATTCACTCAGCCTATATTACAGGCCTCATTTCCCTGTCATGACGATGACACATAAGGCTTAGATCCTTTTTATGCATACTCGGGTTGAATCACACGTACTGATCCAACCAATCATACGTTCCCTGCACAGTCATATACATATGTATATAACCTACGTTTTCATGTTTTCCTTTACACACCATTATCACGTAACACATAGATTGTTTGTACATAGGCCACGGCCTCCCTCAGATGTCTTATTCAAGCATGCAAACATTTCTGAGCCACTCATAGCTATTCCCATGGTATCAACATAATTTTAATACATTGCTGCTACAGACTATAAGTCTGTTTCTTTTCACACTCCACACTCATCATACTACTCTCTTTTACCCATTTTTAGGCTGTCAAGCTTATATAATTGCTCCACACGGTTTATTCCTGTGATTTGTCATACTACCAGGTACGTACACCTGCTCATATGGTATTCTACCATACATTTCATTTCATCCCCCTAGTTTAGAGTACTGGCAA